GAGGAGGGGCTGGAAGATTGCAGTGAGTGGCACTTGAGGTCCCTGAGAGTGATGACAGGCATAGGGTGGGGAGGAATGCCATGACAGGAGCTAATTTCTTCCCTGGATGATGAGCAGCAATCCTGAAGCTGACGGATATCACCAAGGAGAGGCTGAGGTGGGAGAGCTTCCCCAGGGGGACCTCACTCAGGATGTACTGCGTCCTGGGTGTGGCAATGAGGAACCAGGACACCTACATGGTCTCTTACCTGGAGGCCCTTGGGCAGGGGAGACCTGATTGGGGGTGAGGTGTCTTCCTGAGGCAGCCAAGATTTAGCAAGGGAGGAGGTGAAGGGTGCACTGAGCAAAGGCTGAGCGTTGGCTGGGTGTCCCGAGGGGTCAGAGAAGCCTGCCTTGGCTGGACTGAGGGGTACACAGTACAAGTGAGTTAAGAAGCAGTCTCCAGGGCCTCCCCAAGGCCTCAGGCATCAGCACCTCTGCCAATGCAGCTGATGCATGGTCAGGCAAACAGTCCCCTGCCCTCCATGTTGACTGCCATGACTTCCGGCCACATGGCTGGAAGAGTGATGATGATCTGGGTCAGGGTGGCAGTGAGCAAGAAGAGAGGAGTGGCCAGGTGCCAGTGGCTCACACCTGTAATCCTGACTACTTGGGAGGCTTACATGAGACGGATCACGTATCAAGGCCAGCCCTGGAAAATAGCTCCTGAGATTCCATTTCCAAAATAGCCAGAGCAAAATGGACTGGAGGTATGGCTCAAGCAGAAGAGTGCCTGCTTTGCCAGCCTGAAACCCTGGGTTCAAATCCCAGTCCCACAAAAAAAAAACGTGAGGAGTGGACTCCAGGGGAATTTCAAAGGATGACCCAGGTGACTGAGAGAGGAATAGTCAAAGTTGCCAAGAAACACACTTTTAGAGCTGGAACTTCTTAGGACTCCTTTTTGGTTGCTAGGTTGGAAGTTTGCTCTAAACAGGCTCAAATTAAAGAGAATTTGTTGACTTAATAACTACCTGGCCCAAGGTTAGGGTCAGGTGCGGCTGCATCCACACGATGTGACCAGATTGACTTGCTGTCCTTTGGCTCTGCTTCCCGCTGTGCTCAGTGGTTTCCCACACAAGCCAACGTGCTAGCCAAGATGGTTGTCCTTAGTTCCTTCCTTCAAAAAAACTGCAGATGGCAAATGTCCCCAGTACCTTCTTATAAAGGACAAATAAGACCATAGTTCTCACCCATTCCCTGGCTAAACCCAGGAACTCAGGGGGTTAAGAAGTCCCAGGAGCCTACACTGCACTCCCAGTCTCAGGTGACATTTGAGAGGTAGGAGCTGATGAAAGCATGCCATTTCAGCACCCTTAAGCCTTTTTCATTTGACCACACAACACCATGTTCAAAACCTGGAGCCTGAGGTTTCTAATGTAACGTGAGAGGAAGCACACCGGGCTGGCCAGAGGTCTCACTAAATCCCAACCACTGACACCTGACCCTGCCCCAGGAGAGGCTTTTCTTTTCCCTTTCAGTACCTGTCACCAGACACCAGGAAACATCACTTTGCCTGGCCCCCACTTTCAGTTCTGTGCTGGCCCAAACTACTGGAGTCTGCAAGGAAGAGAAAGGGTGGCCGGCTGTGCTATGTTTTGCCTTTTCTCTCATTCTCTCTCTCTCTTTCTCTCTCTCTCTCTCTCTCTCTCTCTATCTATCTATCTCTATCTCTCTCTATCTCTCGTGCTGGGGATGGAACCCAGGGCCTCACACATCCAGCATAGCTCCAGCACCGTGCTGCATTCTCAGCACGCACACACACACACACACACACACACACAAACCCAGATAATAACAAAATGAATTTCCATGTGCCCAGCACTCAGCTTAAGAAATACAGGTTTAAGTCACCAGCAAGAGCTACATCTGCACTGGTTGGTTTTCATGCTCTTGTGTATTTTGCTGCGGATATCTGCAAAAGATTCAGTGCTTCTTGGCTTGTTTTTTAAACTTTATCTAAAAGCTCTTATCCTATTGCTAGCTTACAAACCAGTTAAAAACTTAGTACAAACTGGTTTTGTTCTTGGTTAGTATGCACCATTCCGATTTGTTCCTTTTCAACTGCTGTGTAGTGTCCCACTCTTTAAACATGTTCAAGTATGTCCGTGATTTTCTTTCGATGGGCAGTGAAGTTTGGTTCCAGGTCTTTCATTATCATAAACAAGGCTGCTGTGAGTGTTCTTGCATGGAATTTGGGCAAAAGTGCAAGTTTCTTTGGATTATTCATGTAGGAGTAGATCTGGAGGGAGGGAATGTGTGTATCCATCTTCAGGCCTACTCACTATTGCCAAATGGCTCTTCAAAGTGTTGGACCAACTTCCACTGACCTCAGCAGGGCCTGAGCTGTCTCCTGCCCCATATCCATGCAGAAGCTTGCCACAGTCAGACTTTTATTTTACTTTGTCATTTTTGCTAGTCTGAAAATAAAAGTGAATCTCTTTATTATCTGAATTTGTATTTCCTGGGTTCAAATTTGTTATTTATGTAGAAACTCGGTGTGTAAAATTAAAAGAGGCAGACTTGTTCTGTTTGGGACAGGAGAAGATGTTCCTGTTTCAGAAAGCTAAGCAATCCAATTTATTGTAAACACCTTGGTTTTCTGTGGTACAGAGAATGGATGGAACCCAGGGCCCCTGACATGGTAGACAAGTGCTCTACCATTGAGCTACATCCCAGCCCCAGTTGTTAGTACCTCTGAAACACACTCGTGTTCCTAAATGTTGGGCAAAATTTTAAGCAAATGTTTATACTGAATTTCTTTTGAGGCAACTTTGGCTGGTGTCTTCACCATGACTTCTCAGTTGGGTGTTCTTTTAGCATTATATTAGCATACCCTCCCCTTCGTAGAAGTTAAAGGGAATTGGCTTAAGTGGGCATGATAGCCCAGCCGTGCAGCTTAGGAAGAAATCAGCTCATGGACCCCGTAGGCAGGGTCCTCATGGTTTCCAGGCTCAGCCCTGATTTAGTGCCTTTGCTCTGGCTCTCCCCTCGGCCAGGCTCCTCCCCCAGAGACACTCATGACCCACTTGCTCTTCTCCCTGAAGTCATTGGCAGCTCGCCCCTTTCAGGATGGCCTATATCATTCCGCAGTGAGACCCCACCAGCCCCTCCCGGGGCCCCCATCCTGCTGTGCTACATCTTCTAGCCCCTGCTACTGTTATTTAGCTTCAGTCTACTTTGTAGACTGAGCTTCTTCAGGGGTAGGCATCTTTGTCTATTTTGTTCACTGTTGACCTTCTATATAGTATCTCACACATAATAGGATTTTAGTAATGATCTGTTGATTAACAAATGAGCTGTAATTAGCAAGGGAGAGAGCATTTGAGAGAGAGACAGGGAAATGAGAACAAATGAATAAATGAATGAATAAGCACGCATGTAGTCCTGGAACTAGCACAGCATAGCCTGGAGGTGAAACAGGAATAGCAGTGTGACTCACTGTGACTGTAACCCTGACTGGCCGTCCATTGAGATGGGGGCAGTTGCAAGAGATGTAATTAGGAGCCATAATCAGCAGTTTGGATTTGATCTTGAAGGCCATACTGAACCCTGGTATGATTGTATCAAATGAATAACTCAATTTGCAGTTTGGAACAGCACCATTGGCACCAATAAGGAGAACACACAGGTAGGGGTTAGGAATAACATTGGAGGGATAGCACCAAGAGGGCCACCACAGCAAGTGAGGTGAGAAAAGACAGACCACATCAGGTAATGGCAGAGGAATGACTTCCCAAAGATGTCATCTTTCCCGGGATCCCCAAAGTCAGTGGAGCCCAAGTAAATGGCCGCATCTGGACTTGGCTGAGCGCAGAGGCTGTGCTTGCACTAAGCACGCTCTTAAGTAATCGCGTTGGGAAGCAATCCAAAGAGCTCCACCCTCATCCTCAACTTCCCTTCTGGGGAAAGAAACCTGGAGCCAGAGGGCCTGTGTTCAACAGAGCAGTGAATCACAGGCTCTGTGCAGATTGGATGCGAAGGTTTTGGAAAGCAGGTAGTAATTTGACATCCAAATTCTCCTGGTCTCCAAATCTTTTGTGCAAGTAAATTGGTTTGATTTGTCTCAAGGCACCTTTTCCAGGCCAACTTCTTGCAGCTTGCTTGCAAATGTTCCTCAGTGGGGTGTTTGAGGTTTGGCTGTGTCTTCTTGTCTGGAACAAATCTTTTATTACTAGGAAATAGCTAGGCCATGATTCTGGACTCTTGGATCCTGTTCCCCTGCCAGCTGTTTGACTGAGTATTTGATACCTTGGGCGTTTACAGGTTAACCTGCACCATCTTCTGCCTGCTTCTCATTAATCAGAGTTTTATTCTGGAAGCTGAATTTCACACCTACCACCTCACCAATCTCTGGTGAGGCAGTTGGGATCAACACCTGTGTCTTTGACTCTCCTGAGGTTTACCGAGGTGGGGGTAGGGCACAGATGTTGTCTTGATTCACCTCCTGCATGCACACGGGTTCCTTCTGCCCCAGTGGTCACGCATTCCACCGCAACCTAAAAGCTTCCAGATGATAGGGCGATCATGTTGCTCGGTTCACATGGGAAAGCCACAGCCTGCCATCCTCTTGTTCAAGTTGCATCAAATCTGATTTCCATGGCCTGTGCACGAGGGAGCCCATCGCCCTGTGTCAGCTGTCGGAGTTTAGCAATGCTGTTTGCAAACATGGCCCAGTAGGAGCCAGCAGGCACTAGACAGCTGAGCGCTGGCAGGGAGAGCCCCAGATACCTACAGCCATCCAGTCAGTGACTCAGCCTGCTATTGCCAGGGTAAATATGGGAAGAAATGGTATTTCTCTCTAAGCAGGAGGAATTGTCAAAATGCTTATCACTTTGTAAAATATAACAGATTGTGCCTGTTCATGTTTTGAAATGTTCCAACCATTCACTCACTGGATTTTGTTTTTTCTTTTCTTCTTTTGTTGAGTTTAGTTATGGTTAGCCTGCTTTTCCTCTTTCTAGGAGATCTGAAGAGGCCAGGAGTTTCCAGGCCGTGCTGCCGCCCCAGCTGTGGATGCACCTGGCCGTGGTGGCCTGTGGCGATCGGCTGGAGGAGACCCTGGTCATGCTCAAGTCGGCCGTGCTGTTCAGCCACAGGCAGATGTACTTTCACATCTTCACGGAAGACACGCTGAAGCCCGAGTTTGATAAGCAGGTGAACTGGCAAAGGTGGTGTAGTGTGTACTGAGGGCAGACAGGCTGCGGTGTAGACGACGAGTATCCTGTTCGTTCACAGATGTATTTTGCTGCATGCTTGATTGTGTGACTCTGAGTCTCATTTCCTCGTGTCACACTCTCCTAAAGATATCCTGATGATTGAATGACGTGACAGGCTTAACGCACTTGACACTGGGCTCCATCCTTCTTGGGTCACTAGCATTGCTCTCATTTGGAGGGCAGAGAGCTTACTTGTAGGTACTTTTAGAAATATTTAAATAATAAGGTACATGGTCATCAAAATAAATTCAAACAGTTCAGATGGTACATGAAAAGGTAGACGTTCTCGCTGCCTTCCAGTCTCACATAAGAAATGGTCAGAGTTACTCATTTTGAGTGGATTTTCCCATGATTTTTAATCTAGAGGTGAGTACGTGTCTGTATGTTTCCATGTGGCAATTTTTCACACATTTACATACCCATACACACATTTGCTTATTCAGATTAAAAGGAATTTATTTTACAAAGTCAGGATTAGACGCTAGGTGCCCCTGCGGAACTCACATTTCCACACTTGAAACCATGTCATCACAGGGTTCCCAGTCAGTACTGCCACATCCCGACCTTGTCCTTTTTCATGGCTACATAGTATTTTGCTTTGTTGCTGAGTCACCATTTACCTGGCCATTCCCATCTTGAGTTTTCACCACCAGGACACAAAAAGAGTTTTACAAAGGCCTCTTCCTCCAGTGGAGGTTCATGTGTGACCTTGGCAGACCATTTATTCATAGTCCTTGGAAATTTTCTCTTGGAGGAAATTCTTGAATACTGGCAGTGAAAGAACCTGCTTGCTTTGTTTCCACCAACTTGGGTCAGCAGTGCTATGTCCTGTCACCAGGCTAGCTGCACTGAGAAATGCCAAAAACGATGTGTTGGCAGGGGAAGGCTTGTAACAGAGAGCTAGGAAGCATGTCATGTTTTCCTAAGGGAAAAGTCACCTTGACATCCCTGCTAAGAGAAGCAAGGGAACCGGTAGTCCCAGGGCTTTGGAACTGATTGGAGGCTGCTTTGTAAAAGGTCTGCGTCGGAATGGGGAAGGCCAAGGTGGGAGAAACACTCATAGCTGCTCCAAAACTGCAGGATAAGGAAAACAATAGTGGTAATATGTATCATAAGCCAAGGGCTTATTACTGACCACTTTATCTCGTTTAAACTTCACAACACCCCTTTGCAGAAGGTAACCACCATGTCTCCTGTCCAAGTCAGTTTTTCATTACTATAATGAAATACTTGAGGCTAGGTAGCTTTATAAAGAAAAGTTTAGGGCTGGGAATGTGGCTCAAATGGTAGAGTGCCTGCCTAACAAGCTCAAGGCCCTGAGTTCAAATCCCAGTACACACACACACACACACACACACACACACACACACACAGAGCTCTGGAGGCTCAAGGGCATGGTGCCAGCATCAGCTTGGCTCTGGTGAGGATCTCATAGCAGATGAGGTGGGGCAGATGGTGCATGTGTGTGCAAGGAAGAGATCATATTGCCATACAGGAAGCCAAAGAGACCATGGTGTGAGCTCTCTCTCTCTCTTACAACAAGCCTCTTGGAAGACCAACTCAGGAGTCCCACTAGGGCCACCTGAATCCCTCTGAGGGCACACCCCCAGAAGCCTAAGGAACCCCCTCTGGGCTCCACCTCTAAACATCCCCACACAGCAAACCCCAACCATATCCAAACTTCAGCATCCCCATTCACAGACCAAGATAACTGAGCACTTTGCTCACCAGGTGTCAGGTCAAGTTTACTGGCTCAAACCTCCACGGAATTAACCACCACACCACACTACCTCCTGAACTAGTGGACAGAAGACTCAGATTCAAAACTTAGTTCCACTTTTGGCTCTTTAATGCCTCAGTTTCCCCTTCTGCAACTTGGAATGCTCAGGACTGATAGAAGAGATGACAGCTCAGGACTGGGTGGGGCAGTAAAGTAAGAGCTCCCACCAAGCCTGGAGGCTGTCTGCATGCCTGCTGCCCTCCCCCTCCCCACCCCTGCATAAGGTCTCTGCTCCATGTGGTCTCTTTGGCTGGGATGGAAGTTCACAGAGGCTCTTCACACAGACAGCCACACCTTCTGGGACATTTGGCATCCAGGGTGCCTGGGATAACACTGCAGGAGCATGCAGTGCGATGGTCACACAGGTCTCTTCCACACACAGTTTTTTTTTCCAGCAGTGGGGCTTGAACTTAGGGTGTCATGTTTACTAAGCAGGTGCTCAATTACTTGAGACGTGCCTCTAGCTCCTTAGGCTTTAGTTTATTTTTCAGATGAGGTTTCATGCTTTTGCCCAGCATTGACCTTGAGCCATGATTCTCCTCTACCTCTGCCTCCTTGGTTGCTGGGATTACAGGCATGAACCATGATGCCTGGCTTCTTCCACACATGTTCAACTGTGTAGAAGCAGTCCCAGGCCCATCCAACTGCAGGAGGAAGAGAACTGCTCACACACAAGACCTGAAGAAAACTGGCCATGGATGCACACAGTACAGCCCCACGCTGCATTCATCCACCAAGTGTACATTTGGTCCCTCCTGCATGCTAGAAGTTGGGATCTGGGATGGAGCAAAACAAAATCTAGACATGGACTTAAACCAGATAAGGGAAGGAAGATGTGTGTGACTGTACCTGTGTGGCTTATTGTGACTTCCAAAGAAGCTCTGTGATTGGTTGATTTCCCAGCGTCTTTCCACGTCCTGTTGCTTACATACTGTAGGCTTCCTCTCCTCTACTGCCCCAGGGTTGGTCTGGGTGACCAGTAGCATTGGGCAGAACTCATGGTGGGTCACTCCTGAGGTCAGGTTATAAAAGGCACTTCACTTCCTGTGTCACCCACTCTGACAAAGCCAACTGGTCCTTTGGAGAGTTTCAAGTGGTGAGGAGCGAAGGCCTCTTGCCAGCACTCATGCACGTGAACTTGGAGGCAGATCCTCTACCCCCTCCAAGTCTTCAGATGACCATAAACCCCCCTCACCCCTCAGGAGAGGCCTCGAACCTGAACCACCAATTCACAGATTCCTGACCCTAACAAGCAATTTGAGATAAATGTCTGGTTTTGCTACGTTTTGAGGTATTTTGTTATAAGGCAGTAAACACTTCACACATGCTTGTGTGCACGCTTAAACATGTGTGTACATTCACATGTGTCTGTGTAAAAAAGAGACTACCAAATTTACTGCTGTGTGACCTCTGAGGCAAGGTCATGAAAGGAATGTAGCTTCTTTCTGGCCCTTTGTTGCCTTGGAGCTGTCACTATGCTCAGGGATGCCCAAACTGGCCACATAGAGAGGCCCGTGTAGGGAGGAGCGAGGCCCCTAGCATATCACACACTGCCTGGTGTGTGAATGAACAAGCCTTCAGATGACTCAAGACCCCACCTACAAGGTTCCAGCTCAGACCCTAGGCAGGGACAGTCACCCTGTCCCTACTGTCTGAATTCCTGATCTATGGAATCTGTTTTATTGTCCACTATCACTGGAACGTTATAAATGAAGAGGTGGGTTGTGTGGGAAGCTATGGTAGATACTTGTGAGGCCGTGCTGTGTTGTGAGTTGCCCTGATGAGTCTGTCCCTTCTGTTGGTTCATTGTCATTTCTTCAAGTCTTGTTAGATCAGGGAAAGAAAATGTATAGGGTGTTGATATGGTGTGGATCTGGAATGTTCCCTAAAGGCCCACGTGCTATATGTTGGGAGGTGGTGGAACCTTTCGGGGTTTGAGCCTTGAGAGTGGGTTTCTGGTCTTTGTGGGCCTGCCTCCTTCAAGAGATATTAGGACCCTAGCCACTCCTTCTTCCTCTTGCTTCCTGGCCATGAGGTGAAATGGGCTTCCTCACTATAAGCCCTAAAGCAATAGGGCCAAGCAGCCAGGAACTGAAACCTTGAGCAAAAAACCCTTTCCTCTTTCAAGTTGATTAACTCAGGAATTTTGTTACAGTAAAGCAAAGCTGACTAACACAGGTATGAAAGGCTAGGTAGGGCATTTCTTTTCTAAGCAGGGATTATGGGGTCAGTTTAGATGTCACACCTGGGCCCTCAACATAAATCATAAAACTTCACTCAGACTCAGTTTTGTCATCTGTTTCATGGGGCACACAATTCTTCCTCTGGTATTTCAGTGTATTTGTGAGGCTCAATCAGAGAACATATTTCTTCTTTCACTCTACAAAAATTCTTTGGAAACCTCCTATCTGTTGGGCAAGCTACAGGTAGAGGCTGGTGTGGGGTCAGTTGATGTCACCCTTTCCAGAGGTGTCAGCCATCACTACACATTGTGGACATATTCAGAACATCCTGTGATCACTTCCTGGAATGCTCAAGCCCACATGTTTTTACCTCAGGGTGAAAACAAAATATTGCTATCGTGGTTCCTCTGGAGAATTTGATTTTGCAAATTTTTCTGCATTTGTATAATTTTTAAAGCTGTATGAACCTGATATAGACAGTGATATCTACTACCTACGTGATGGATGCTTAATATTTTAAGGTTTCTGTGTACCGTTGTCATCTCCCAACAGAGAAGAGGAAAATGGCTGCTGGTTGATTTCCTAGCCTTTTCTGAAGCTCTGGATCAGGCGTGAGATGTAGGTTCTGCTGATCCGACCTTCTGTCCCAGTCTCAGGAACTTGCAGTGCACAATGTCATCGGTCCTGAGAATGAGCCTGGGGACAGCAAGGGCTACAGTGAGTGAGTGAGTGCATGTCCATGCATGTCTCTGTGTGTCTGTGTGTCCAGCTGTGCCTCTGTGTGTCTGTATGTTTATGAGTGCACCTGTATGTGTGTCTCTTTGTGTGTGTCTGTGTCTGTGTATGTCTGTGCCTATCTGTGTATCTGTGTGTGTGTGTCGAAGCTAGGATGGGGGGAGGTGCCAGCAGGGGCTTCTAGGTCCTGGTGTCCATGGGTCAGGCTCGGGTGTTTGTATGACAGAGCTGGTTTCCTCA